TTTGGAAGAATGGTCTTACATTGCCCAGTGCTCCTTGTCACATCATTTGGCGTATCTATTTTGTCCTTGATAAATTGGTACAAGCCTTTCTAAGTCTAAATCAGTTTCTGCTGTTTTATTCTTTGTATTCTGAATGTCATAAAATACTTTGGGGGGGTTTCTTTAATACAAAGTGTATTGCAGTCATCACTTCCTCTTCCTCTTTCCTGTCCTAGCCACTTCACTGCCCTGATAAGGTCACCTTTACTACCACCTCTGGCTGCATACACAGTGTCTATAGACTGGTGATAGTGTTACGATCCCACAGTCAAGCTACTTCTGAGCTGCTACCATTCTTCATTTCTTTGCACTTTCATTTCTGCTAGGCTACTTCTTCGGTTACTATACTATGGTAACTAACCTTTAAACTGTGTTTCTGGGGGATTCATGATAAATAAAAGAGGTAACTGATATTGGAACACAAGAACTGGGCAAAGAGAGGAGTGCCTGAAAATATATGCACACGCACATGCATGCATGCACACACACACACACACACACACACACACACACACACACCACACACACACACACCTCTCACGTAGTTACATGTGATTAACAGGACTGTCTGAAAATGTATGCACATGTTCTGTGTATACACAGGTGTGCACACACACTCATATAGTCACATGTAACTAATAGTGAAGAAAACTTTCCTCTAGGGAGGGAATGAAAAAGAATTTCAAATGTATCTAATAGTTTATTTTTCTATAGAGAATATGAAGCTAAATCTGAATACTGAGTTTTTGTGCAGTCTGTTTTCCCTTTTTATTCCTCTATAAAAAACTTTGCAATTTGAAATGTTAATTGTTTTAAAACAAAACTAATGAAAACTAGTAAAATATATGAACTGTTTTCCAAAATATTTTTTATGGACCGGCATGGTGGCACACACCTTTAATCCTAGCACTCAGGAGGCAGAGGCAGGTGGATCTCTGTGAGTTCAAGGCCAACCTGATCTACATAGTGAGTTCCAGGACAGCTGGGGCTACAGGGAGACCCTGTCTCAAAAAGACCAAAAAAAAAAAAAGACTAAAATATTTTTTATGGCTAGGTAGAAAGGTAGGCAGAACAACTTTCTTTATAAGCTGTTTAATAACTAATCTTGAAAATTAATACTTTTATTACCTGAATATCAGTCAAGTGCAACATTGTCTTCTTATAGGAAAGGACATCAAAGTCTGTGGCTTTCCAGATTACATGATTGAAAAATTCACCTACTTTCATCTTTTTGGTAATGACAACAAGATAATTACCTGCAAAAAAAAAACATAGCCAAACATAAATATAAAAAATGCAACATATCGGAATGAAGATATTTTCAGAGACAGAAAAAACAAGAAAGCCTAAGCAAATGATGAAGGTCTGTGTAGATTTGTTATGACATATAAAGGATGAGACAAATATAATATACACATAATCTTAAAATTTCTAAGGTCATAGTTTAGTCAACTAGTTTAAGGAACAAAATATGTCTAGTCAGGGCTTATCTGAGAATGTTCGGTTATTGCCCAAGCTTTATTTACATAGTCCATGGTAATTAAAAGTACCAGACTGGTGGAACTAACCTTCTTGGATGTTTAATACTTTGAGGCCTATACTAATCTGGTCAGAGGGACTTACAGGACAGTTTTTGCTCCTTGCCTTCCAAGGTTGACTAAGTTCTGGGGGATTATGGAGCATCTCTCAAAATGTCCTGTAACTGTGGTGAGTCACCTGTCCTCTTGTTCAGGGAGGCCATGGAGACCCCACCAGGTAGACTTGAACCAGTGTCCAGACTACAAAGAAGAGGGTCAACACAGAGGAAACATTTCCTCTACGCTTCCAAGTGAAGCCAGTCATGGTTGAGTAGGACCTCTGACTTATCCTCACATAGATGGAACTGGTAAAAGAAAGGAGCCAGGGGCTTCTCCCAAGCCCATATGACCCCTGAGGAACAGATCCTCAAACAACCTTAAGTGTAAAAATAAATTGGTTTATTTGGGCCAATTGTATGGTCTTAAACATCCAAAAGGAAAGTATAACCAAAGATTAAAGTGATCTATATATTTATTTTAGAGTTCAAGGGATTACACTTCCCAGGCATTAGACTTAAGTCCATATAAAATGTTATTTAGACAATCATTTCTCATTTTGTTTCTAATCACAAAGTGCTGCTCAGATGTAAGGCTTCAAATCTCAGTCTGCAAGTGGGTCTGTAGTGCCCACTTACAACTAAGGGAAACAACCCATTATTATTATAAAATGATGGCTAAATTTGTTTCTCCCCCATCTAGAAGCCTTTGCAAGGGAATTGACACTGATTCTAGCCACTCCAACAGCTATCAAAGTGCCTGAAAAGAATGTTAAGAGTAGCAAAAAGCCCCAGTTAAAAAAAAAAAAAAAAAAGAGAGAGAGAAAGAGTACACAAAGTTTTTCAGGAAAAAGTGATGGAAAGATAGGGGAGGAGTTGGAGAGGAGGGAGTAGGCATGGATTTGATCAAAACACCTTATATGCATGTATGAAATTCCCAATAAATTTTTCTTTAAAGTTAAAAAAAAAATGCAGCAGTAAGGCTGGGATGTAGCTTAGTTGCAGAGCCAGTGATCAGCATGTTTGAGGCCCTATGTTAAAGCCCTAGCACCATCACAAAAACTGGCCCCCAAACAAACAGAAAACAAAAAGTAACAGTCCTTGTTTTTAAACTTTAGAGTCTGGCAAAATGAGACTGCACTGTGCTACTCAAACAAAAGGCTCATTTTTAAAGCATTCTTAAAATTTATGAATAAAAGGACTAGTGACACATTATTTAATAGAAAAATTCCTATTAAAAGGTTAAATTTGGAGCTGGAGAGATGGCTCAGCAGTTAAGAGCACTGGCTACTCTTGCAGAAGACTTGGGTTCGGGTTTCAGCACCTATGTGGTGACTGTAACTCCAGCTCCAGGGGATCTCATACCCTCTTCTGGCCTCCACAGGCACTGCACAACATGGGTACACTTACATATATGCAAGCAAAACACTCATACACATAAAAAGTTAAAAATTTTTTTAAAAATTTTAAAACACTCATACAGAGGGGGGAAAAAATAAAAAAAATTTTAAAAATCAAATTTTCTCTCAAAAAGATAAAAGCAAACCTTTCAATGATTAAAAGAGCCAGTTCAGGGGCTGGAGAGAGGGCTCAGCGGTTAAGAGCACTGCTCTTGCAGAGGACCTGGGTTCGATTCCCAGCACCCACATGGCGGCTACGAACCGTCCTTAACTCCTGTTCCAGGGGAATCTAACACCCTCTTCTGACCTCCACAGCATTGCATGACACAGGTGCACTCACATACATGCAGGCAATACACTCATACACATAAAAAATAAAAATAATAAATGAGAAAGAAAATATTTTTCCCTCTCCTGCACTCTCAAAGCATACAGGCCTCTGCTTATTATTTTTTCCTAGGTTATACTGCAAACATCAGAAGTCATGAGATCTGACCAGAGCAGGGCAATGTCCCCTCTACACCATTCCTTTGTCCTCTACATCACTCTAAATTGCAGATAAAATTGTTGGGGCAATATGCCAAGCTCGTCACTTATATACCTCTTTTACTAACTATGAGTAAGAGAGTAGGAACATTCAAAGTCTTTCATAACTCGGCATCTAGTACAGTGACTGAAACAAAAAAAAACTTTTTAAGAAGTTCAGTGAAATGAAAATGCAAATGAAAAGCCACCTTCTTCCACATGCCTGGAATCCCAGCAGTCAGGATGCAGAGGTGGGTAATGTGCTGGAAGCCAGCCTTGACTACAGAGGGAGTTCAAGGTCTCACTATAGAGTGAGACTGTCTCAATTAAACGATAAAAAGCCGTCTTAATAACTCAGACCAAGAACTGTAACACACTGTCATCTCAGTATAAGGTTGAAGGTAGCGAATAGCCTGGTCCATCAATGCATTAAAATTTTAAAAATATTCTTAGAATTTGTGATGCTATCTCGTTAACTAAGGATTTCAACTATAGTTGGAATAAACCATATGAACCTTTCTTTTAAAACCAGTACTTCAGGGTGATAAATTTAACCACTTAGGAAGTATTACTTTTAGAAACCAAGGACAAATCCCTAACCTAGATATTCACCTCAAGCACACAGGAAGAACAAGTCCTTTTCATACTTGTTGTCAACTTAATTACCTTCTTTGCCAATCTTGGCTTATTTTCTCTTACCTGCCACCAAATGGATTGTGCCCAGTATCCCAAATATTGGTCGTGTAACAGCTGAAGGAGGGACATCTTTTTTTGCTTAAAAAAAAAAAGAAAAATAATAGAAAAAGCTCACCAACAAAAATGAAAATTTAGTTAAACTTCAACTAAGTCAATTTGCACAACTATTCTACGAAACTAGCATTTCTTCATTAATGTCAGACCTCTATTTCTATAGAACATAAAGATGTCCATTAGACATGGACAGCTGGGGCTACAGGGAGACCCTGTATTGGAAAAAAAAAAAAAAAAAAGAGGACAACACAGTTTCGTATCAGGCAAACTGTAGGTTATTTTTAATGTTGCCAGGAAACTAAACAGTATCCCTTTAAGAGTAAGTGGAAGTGAAGTTTTGAACAAAATTTTAACCTTCATAGACAACTCACAGAATATAAAACTACCCACCCACATCTGAGATCCAATGGAAGAAAGAGGAAGAAGAAGAAAAAGCCTCTCTTCCTGTGTCTAACAGCAATGTAGGTAGGAAAGGATGGACCACGCTAACCTTGATTTCTATCAATGCCCATTATTAATAAAATTCTACCTTATACAATTTATCTTACAACTCTTAAGCTTTCAGTTAGTAACTTTCACAAAACACATTTTATAGTACTCTCCATTAAAAAATAATGCCCCAAGGGCAGCTGGGAGAGTTCAGGTCAAACAAGCTTGTGCTTGATCTCAAATTACCTCTAATCCATCTCTACAAAGTCATAAAACACATTAGAACAGGCGGCTCTGAGGACCAACAGTTTAAAAAAAAAAAAGCCATTCCAATCTCTAACCCAAAGTTCCCCCAAGTTTACATGGCTAGAAAACTTTTTGTTTGGTTTTATGAGTCTTTATTTCGTTTTTTTTTTTTTTTTCAATGTATTATTAATTTGCATCTCACTGCTGTTAACTGAAGTTCTGATTCTTTTTTGTTGTTCTTTCTGAGATAGGGTCTCCAGTAGCTCCAGTTAGCCTGGAACTCACTATGTAGACCAGGCTGGCCTTGACCTAAAGGTGTGCACCACCACACCGGCTGAAGTCCTGATTCTTAAAGGCAGTCACAACAGCAACTCTGTTATTCTAAATAACTAATTCTGAATAAAATAATCCTAAAAGAGGTCAAGATTCGGCTGTATCCCTCCTTAATAACTCAATTAATTTAGTAATGTTACTCCATAAATAACTAACATGAAAAACAGGCATGAGCTACATAGCAAGGGCAAGGACAGTCAAGGCTGCACAACAAGACTGTATCTATGATAGATAGATAGATACAGTCTTGTTGTGGAAAAAAAAAAAAAAGCTTGTTTGAAAAAAATAACTTGAGGGGGCAGGAAAGATGGCTAAGTGGTTAAGAGCACTGACTGCTCTTGCAGAGGACCCGGGTTCGATTTCCACCACCCACATGGCACCTAACAACTATCCTAACTCCAGTTCCAGGGGATCTGATGCCCTCCTCTAACCTCCGCAGGCATTGCACAACACAGGTGCACTTACATACATGCAAGGAATACAGTCATACACATAAAAAAATAAGCAAACAAACAAAAAAAAAGCTTGAGCAGAAAACTGTTCAGAGAAAATTCTATCATTCCATTTGGATTATTTAACACACTCAAGTGTTCTACTGAAATCTAACATTTATTAACCAGTGCACGATAGCATTAAAACTATAGTAATTTCTAGGATATATGTCAGTTTTTCATGGAAGAAAAATAATCTTTCCATGGCCACAGTCTGCATTCCCAAAGGTAAAGAGAGACTGGGCAAGAAACAGCCAGTGGGTCAGCCCCTCAATATCACAGATTTTGTGTCAAAGTATTGCACTGTGTCCACTGAGGATGACTCAAAGCACCTGACATCAAATCTGTCTCAACCTTCAGCCCTTCAGTCTATTCAAAGGGGGCTGCAATGTCTACTTATAAATAAAGTCACTGTAAGCTCAACTATAACTGAGAGCACTCTATCCAAACCCTTACAAAGCAGTGGTGTGCACCACTCTGCCTGCATAAAGGAGTATCAAGTAGTACGAGGCAGCTCTAGAAGCCCATTACCTTCAGACTAATTGGCTACCTTGAGAAGGGAGCCATCAAGCAAACAGACAAGAAATGTTAATGATCAATCTAGAACAAAGCTCTAATGCCATTTATCAAAGGAAAACTATCTAAAGGTACTTATGAAAATAGTTACACAAATAAAAATCTTAATCATACTTTTCTTACAGTTTACTAATGCAAGAAAAGATTTTTATATTTCATTGTTCCCACTCAAAAGATATTTACTGAATGTCTATTCTGGTTTTGATTTTGGTTCTGTTTATTTGTTTGAGACAAGGTTTCACTATGTAGCTCTGGATGGCCTGGAACTCACAGAGATCAGCCTGCCTCTGCCTCCTAAGGGCTGGGATTTAAACCGATGAAATGACATTCTAATGGGATATTGCCTAGTGCTAAACCAATAATATATGACATTTTAATGTGATACTGCCTGGTATACTGCTTTGTCATCAAGATTATTTCACATTAATTTCTTCAGAACTCAGAGTGTTGCACACGCACACAAATGGGGAAATTTTTTTCATACCCCAGGGGAGCAAAAAAAAATGGATCAACAGACAAAACTCAGGAAGAATATCACTTGCTTTGAGGTTCCCAAGTTTAGTTACTGAAGTACATTTTACTTCTCATGGTAAAGTATCCTCACAGTCATGAAACTCTTCAAAACAAAAGCAGCTATCAAAACCCTACACTTAAAGCTGAATTTCAGTTCAAAATCTTTCTGGGATACCCTGAAACTGGCCATACATACCTGCGAGGGTGACCTCTGTGGACACTCGGTCAATGGTAAGTACATCATCTGCTCCATCATCACAAGCTTCCACATAGAACTTTTCAGGTGTAATATGCCTGAGAAGAAACCAGAAGGCATAAGCCAAATCAGGATTTTACAACAATTACAGTCAGATTTCAACATGGTATATATAACTTTCTGGTTTCTAAACAGATGACAATAACAAGCTTACTGTCCTTATGAGTTTACTGCAATTCCTAACTTGCATATTTAATGCTGGTAAGATTTTAATTTGCTGTAAAGACATCAATTTGAATTACATAAGAAAATAATCAATTCTAACGCATTACATTCAACATCATGCAGAAGGCAGTACTGCATAGTAACAGCAGGACACAGAGAGCCGGACTACACGTTGTGTGACCTCAGGCAAGTTCTTTATCTCTTCTGCTCTTTCCAACTCTCAGAGTAGTATGAATTAAATAGGCCAAGCTTTATTACTCAGTGGTTGGTAAGCACACTGTAAGCAAGATGCTGTATTAGAGGCTAGGGATACTGTTCAGTGGAAGAGTACTTGCCTTATACATGCAAAAACCTGGGATTGATTAAAAAAAATATGTAAATAAAAAGATTAGTATTAGCTAAAAATACTAAGAAATTGTTTAAAATAAATTACTTAAATAGTCAGGTTCTTTTTTGTCAAAATACCATATATACTTTCCTGGAAAAAAAATCTATTCCAGAAAAAATAAGATATAATAAAATGAATTATAAAAGGGGCAACAATGGGGTAGGGATAGAGTACACAAATTGTGCAAAAATAACAAAATAACAAAAGTAACAGTTTGTGCCTCAAGACATCAACTGAATAGGGGCAGGAGAGATGCTCAGTGGTTAAGAGCATAGGCTGTTCTTGCAGAAGACCAGGTTCAAATCCCAGCACCCACATGGCAGCTATCATCTGTCCATAACTTCAGTTCCAGGAAATCTGACGCCCTCTTCTGTCCTCTGCCGGCACTGCAGGACATGGGTGTACTTGTATACACGCATGCAATACACGTATACACATAAAATTTTTTAAAAAATTTTTAAAAAACAGATCAACTGGATAGCTCAGGCAAGCAACTCAACATAGTTACGGACTGACTCAGAAAATGTGGAAAATTAACACAGTAAGGTAAAAATTCAGGCAAAGAGTGCAGTGAAGTAGAACTTTAAGGCTGCTGTTACTAGAGGTAGAATCCAGGAGCTGCCTCCCCACCAACCCACGTAAGTCCAAAAGACAAAAAAGCATTACTCTCTATTGTTGGCTCCCCAGACTTCAAAAGCAATCTGAGGCCTCCCCTTTTCCCCTTAGCTTTTCTACTCCGATTTTGCCTCACTTCCCCTATGAAAAATCTTACACAAATCCACACATCATTTTCTACCAACTCAAAGTTATCTGGAGTCACAGAAATGTACCTTGTACTGTACTTACTATTTCTTATTATATATTTTCTGAAGACTAACCAAGTCTTGATTATACAAATATATCTTTTATGGTTGGCCAGTAACTAAATTGTTAATATTAGAATAGCTTCCTTCATTTTAAGGGATATGCTAAGAATTAGAATTAATGTCAAACACAATAATATACAACAAAGGCAAAGTTGCTTCAAATATGTCAATATTCAAGTCAACCTAAATTTAGCAGTTCATTCATTGCTTTTTATTACTAGGTATGTCCCACAACACAAATGTTATGTATTCCCCTGTGATGGGCTGTTTTCTAGTTTGGGGTTATTAGTAATAAAGTTGCTGTGAACATTCTTGCACAGAAATTCAGGCAGTATGCTCCTTCTTCTGAATAACTCACTATCCAGAGTACAACAGTCATGTCTAACCAGCACAGTACATGTATGTTTAATGTGCTGAGGAGGGAAAAATTGGAGAGACTGTGTGCTTAAGACTTTTGGGGGTGACAGATGTATTCTGTAGCATGACAGTGACAGTGATAGTATAAAAATCTTGAAATTTACCAAACTATATCTCTCAAATATGTCCAGTTGACTATATGCACTATATGTCAATAAAACTATAAAAAGAAAGCAAAGTCAGAAGTCCTACAGCAAAGTCAAGGACTCTGGCCTATTCATCACAGGCTAGTGACCTCTAACTAGTCTTCAGTCATTTTAAGTTTGTCCTCAGGAACCAAGCAAGGTGACAGATGCCTATGATCCTAGCACCTGGGAGGCAGGATTGTAAGTTCAAATCCAACCTGAGCCACATAGTGATCCCTGCTCCCCCACCCCCAACTTCAGCCCACATTTGCAGAGGCATTTTATGTAAACAAAAGTAATATCCAAGTGTAACATTTATTGAAAAGTTATGTGCTAAGCACTATACCAGCACAGGGGACTAGAGGACAGGTGATAAAGCACAGAACACAAAAAGAAATTATCAGTAAAAAGCAAACCTGAAAAACAAGACTTCTCTAGAAAGCCTCTGAAAAGAGTGCTGTTGCTAAATAAAGATGGTATTTTGATAAGCTTCACCATCTAGAGTCTGTCCATGCCGCCATGTCCCTCAAGTTTTTAAAGAATGTGCTGTGGAGCAAACACCTTACTGCACTCTCTGAGGCTTAAGCAAACCTGAGACCTGAAAAAGCCATGTGAAATGTTTCTTTATGTGGCCAGTGCTATTACAGAGTCTTATCCTACTTCAAGTGTCCCATGACACTCCATGAATTTTTTTTACAAGGTTCACATCAATTAACAAAGAGCCTCTCCTCACCTGACTTTTAAACAAATGCACTGAGAAGAAACAGCTAATTACCAATTCTGCTTTGGTGTTAAGTAAACCAACAACAAATGATTTATTCCAGCCCCAGCAATGGCAAAGCAACCACCCACAGTCAGTCATTCAAAACCTGTTTGTAGGTCCTATTTATATGAGAAATCAAAACTCACAAAACTGATTACCATTTAATCAAAACACTACTTCAGCCAGGCATGGTGGTGCATGCCTTTAATCCTAGCACTTGGGAGGCAGAGGCAGGCGGATCTTGGTGAGGCCAGCCTGGTCTACATAGTGAGTTACAGGTCAACTTGGGCTATAGGGAGACCCTGTCTCAAAAAGACAAAAAACAAACAAAAAAATAAAACCACTACTTCAAGGGCTAGAGAGATGACTCAGCAGTTAAGGGCACTGGCTGCTCTTGCAGAGGACCTGGGTTCAGCTCCCAGCACCCACATGATGGCTAACAACTGTCTATAACTCAGTTCCAGGGGACCCAACACCCTCTTCTGACCTCCACGGGCACTGCAACTGCATGACACAGATGCACTTACATACATGTAGGCAATATACCCATACGCATAAAAAAATTTTAAAAGCAAAACACTACTCCAAAATTTTATAAAAAACTTTAGAAGTAGTTACACTGGAAGGCCTGGAGATTTACAAGAAACACAGCTGTTCTAATCTTGACTGTGCTTGTTACTAGCTACATATTGCCACAGAACTTCTGGGATTAAAGATACATGCTACTGCGTCTGGCTTTATGTGGATTTGGGGGATCTGAACTCAGGCCCTCATGCTTACACAGCAAGTACTTCATCCACTGAGACATCCACCCGAGCCCTAAAGTAACATTCCTTAACACTAGAGAAAAGCTGTACATTTTCATGATAGGACTCCTGACACAGGACCAAAAATATTACTCTAGTAATGTTTTAAAGAAGTAGTGTGTAGAAGGCATGAGTCTTTGCACACAAAAAATATCTGAACAACTTAATTTTGGTAGAATAACATTGGATTTAATTATATCCAATTTATGCTGGGAGTGGTGGTGCACGCCTTTAATCCTAGTACTTGTGAAGCAGAAGCAGACGGATCTGTGAGATTGAAGCTAATCTGGTCTATATAGTGAGTTCCAGGTAGGCTGGGGTTACTAGAGACCCTGTCAAAAAAAAAAAAAAAAAAAAA